TGCCACGTCAAACACGAAGAAATAGGTTACGGACTAAATTTTGGGAAAGTGACTAAAGAATGAAGTAAAATTGAAAAGAGATTTATTTGACTGCATATTCAATATTTGATTCAATAGTAGTTGATATTCATAATACTGGTAATTGAAGATCATAATTTAATATATAAAAACAATAAATTTGAAAAAACTACCTAATTTTAACAGTTGAAAAATAATTTTCTTGAATGTCTATCAAAAACATGTTATGGCGTTAAAGTAACATCTCAAAACTAAACGATTCTTTTTTCTTCTCCAAGTAGATCTTTTTGTTCTTGTCAGCGGAATTTCGGATCTACTTGGAAGGTTCTGGAATTGTGTTATTTATTTGTTAATAAAAATAAAAAATAAAAAAATTGACATTTGTCAGCTAATTTTAGTATCATAATTAGAACAATCTGTCAAAAAATTTCCATGACATTAAAGTTAGCTGTCACTTGTCAAATTTTTAATTTTATTTAACAATTAAATTAATTCTAAAAAATTGCATTTTTAATTTTTTTAATTTCTACTTGTCAATTTTTTTTCCTTATTTTTTTTTTGATATAATTTATTTGTTAACAAGTTCTAAAAATTACTAAATATCTGCTAAATTAATTTTCATACATAATTTTTGCACATATTTTAAATCATAATTTACTTTTAAAGAAAAATTAAATAAAAATTTTTAAAATTATTAATCAAATTTAATTTAAAATAAATATATTCTAATATTTAATAATAAAAACTTGAACTTTACTTACAAATTAATAATACACTAAAATATTAAATATTAAACTATGTACACACTAAAAAGACTATTGAATTAAATAAATAATTAATTAGACCGACTATCACGTGGAATGTGACTCGTGTAAATAAACCAGACAATTAATACAGGTTAACACATGGACATGACTCGGATGATGAAATACGCCATGTGGTTACCACGGGGGCAGCCATTTTGACAAATTAATTGCGCGTGCGCGAAACTCGTCGCAACATGTGAGGACACTACCCAAGTAACAGTAATGGAGAATAAAAACTCAATAAAGTTTCGTAGTTGTATCTCAACTCTTTGGCAAGTTGCTGTCAAGAGCGAAAAAGACAACCTAAGACATTTTATTGAGATTTTACTGCAGTCGCTCTTTTATTATCATTATTTTATTTATCTTTTATCGTATTCATTCATTTAATTAAAACGAGGCATAAAATGATAATTAATACAATTATGCATTTATAAATTAATTGTTTTATTTATTTTGTATAATGATACTGAAATATCAGCAGACAATTTACAATTTTTTAGATTTTTATAATAATTAAATTATAAGTAAAAAAAATTGCAAGTTTTAATAAATATTTTTTCTATTACAATTTATTTATGATAAAAATTGTCATTTTAATTAATTAAAATAAAGTTTATAATAAATTAATTAATATAATTTTTTATCTTAAAAAGTTTAAAACTTATCTTAATACTTTTTTTTTTAACAAAATTTAATATTAAAAATTATGATACTGAAATTGAGAGACTTTTGATGATTTATAGAATTTTTTTAATAAGTAAAAAGTAGCAAAAAAAAATTTTTTACAAAAATTTCATCTTTAGAAACTAAAAAATTATGAATTAAATTTTTTAAACATAATTTTAGAGCTAGTTTATTTTCTTTTACAATTTTTTAAATTTAATTTGTGTAAACTATAATTAGTAGACATTTGACAATATTTTATTATTTAAATCAATAAAAAATATTTTTAAAAAACTTGCACTTGGATTTTTTCAAATTTTTTACATATAAAATTTTTTCTTTTAATTTTTTTCAATAAAAAAATTTTCAGATACCAGCTAATTTAATTTTGATGCTATAATTTATCTATTTTTTTTATGAAAATGAAGTTAATCGACATTTCAAAATTTTTTATTGAAAAAATTTCAATTAAACAATTAAAAAAAAAAAAATGTCACATGTAAAAAACTTGAAAAATTATAAGTGCAATTTTTTAGAATTATCTTTTTAGTTGTAATTTAATTAATAAAAAATTTTTACACGTCTTTTAACTTCAGTGTCATATTTTTTTCTCAGTGCGCCTAAATATAAAAATTTATTTACTCTATATAAATGATAATTATTCAATTTTTCATAATTTTTATTTAAAAAAAATCATTTAATCTTTAAAAATTATACCATACATTCTCTAAAATAAAAAAATAACTTAATTAATAATTCAAAAATTAACATTAAAAAATTTTTTGAACAATTAAAAAAACTTCTTAAATTAAAATGAATTCAAAATCTGTTCTCAATTTTTATGATTCGATTTGTATAGACATATAGACATATATGTATGATCCAGGTTGCGTGGATTGTTAAGGAGCAAAGAAGCAAAGGCAAGGTGAAGGTGAGCTCGGCCGGGTTTAAGCTGTACAGAGGCAGAGGAGAGCTCTGATGCTGGTACTCGGTTTTCCTGAATCCAACTCTTCCTCTTGTTCTTGTTCTCCTTGTTGTTCGTCTTCTTCTCGGGGCCGCTCTCATCCTCGTCCTCATCTCTGCTCGGTTAAAACTTCTCTCATGCACACTAAACCGCAGCTCGTTAAAAAGTTGCTTGACCGGTTAGTTGCCTGCTGCCCGCTGCTCGGCGCTGACTCTGTGGTCTACGACCCGACACTCGCATGGACCAACATCATCCTCCATCCTCCATCCTCCAGATACGGACCAAAGAATTGCAGAGTTACTCTCTTACCGGCGACTATTATCAGTTTTAAGTATGATTTTTTTTTTAAATTCGTCCTTGGGTTTGAAATTTTTTTAAAAAATTTCAATTTTTTCTGAAAAATAAAAAATAAAATTAATTAAAAAAATTTTTCTAATAATAATAATAATAATCATCAAATAGAATTTTAGAAAAAAAAATTATCTAAATAATTTTATTTTTTAAATTTTCAACGAAAAGTTTTATAATTATTACAAAAAATAATAAATAATTTGAATAAAGAGAATCATTTCTAAAAATTTAATTACTTTTAATAAAAAATAAAAATTTTTGACCTTAAAAAAATTTTCTAAATTCAAGATTCAAATAAAATTATTTTTCTGACTAAGTTCTCCATAAAATAGCGAGTAACTATACCGGAGAGTCTTAGCCAGGCAGTTTAGGTCCTCTGTGTCTTGTTGGATCGGTAATGAGCGCAAGTGAGAGGACTTACCAGCATTATATCCAAGTTATATATTGTATATATTGTGCATGTGTACGGATAGTATCGTATAAGAGGATATCAGGTCGCTGTAAAGTTGTACCCGTACTCTAACTCGTATACTGAAGAGAGAGCCCTCAGATATCCAGTACGGCCACGTGTGTTCGCTCGGAGGGTTCGCGTGCCGTGCCCGCTCGTTTTTTATAGCCAACACTATACTTGTTACCAGATCCAATCTATGATTCACTCGCCAGAAAATTCTTTCGTTTTTTAGTTTATTTTATTT